CTATGGGACGGCAAAACCTAACCAGTGGACCAATCTCGTTCCTCAGCATCTGAAATGTTATGGTCATTTTGAAATGTCAGAGCAAAGTCTGACATCAACATATTTCTGTATAATTGCCTCCCAGAACTGTTACATGACTGCGTTCCCAAACAGCAGCATCCAACTTCGAAAGCAATGACCGCATTTATTTTGTTTCGTCTGCTCGCTTTGAGGTGCAAGTAATTTATTATATAGGCCTATGAAAATTATTATATTCAGGGGTTTCTCCTACTTTTCATAGTGATATATAGCCTAGCGCCAGTTCTACCAGGAAGTGACGATTTTGTTCTCTTTGACTTGTTGGATGGAAACGGTGCTTATTCGCAAATGTTTTATGCGATATTTCAATTTATTCTGCGCATAAGTTAAATTCGCAACTTTGGATGGAAACCCGGTTAATTATCTTTTCTTGTAAAACGTGACAAGATCGCAAATTCAAAAGCGAAAGCATCTGAAGCCCGGCTTATAACATAGCAAAAGAGGAATTCCCGTTCACAAAATTCAAATCACAAATAATACTACTAATGAAAAAGAACAGGTTGAATGTTAACCTCTTTCGTTTTCATATAACTATAAACTATGAAAAAAGTTCATCAGCATGCATCGATTAATCCCATGTTGTAGCTAAAGAAAATAAATAAAAAACTGCGACCAAATCATGTGCTCATGTGATCAACTGAGAAAGTTAGTCACAAAAGAATGACCAGTGGGAAGAATGAGTCTGGAGCCCTGGGTAAGTTTTTTATGTTTCTGAAAGAAATGTCTAATGCTCATCTGCATTAATTTGATGAATACAGTTAAAATTGTAATTTTGTGAAATGTTACAATTTAAAATAACATTTATATTTTAATATAAAAGCAAAGGTACATTTTCAGCATCATTACTCCAGTCTTCAGTGTCACGTGATCCTTCAGAAATCATTCTAATATGTTGATTTGCTGCTCAAGAAACATTATCATCAATGTTAAAAAGAGCTGTGCTGCTTACTATTTTTGTGAAAAGTTTTTTTTGCAACCATGTAAAAGTCCTTACTGTTACTTTAGATGCATTTAATGTGTCCTTGCTGAAAAGTCAATCATAGGAACTTTGTGAATATTAATTTCTGACACGTTTCCTAAAAAAAAAAAATAAAATAAAAATAAATAAAATAAAAAATCATTAGACTACTTTTGCAATTTTTTACTTTGAATTAGGCAGTTCAATTAAATTCTATGCAACAATAATTTAAACTGATGATGATTCAGTTATTAATTTGCATCCTAGTCCCCGTGTGGCATTTATTTTTCACATATTAAAATGTTTTCTCAAAATTGTATGCAGGTATATATGGAAATATTTGCTTATTTTATTACTATGTATTACTATTTTGGTTCACATAAAGATGTTTACATTTAACTGTGTTCACTAAGGGAAAAATACTGTTGAAAGGTTTATTATTTTAAATGTATTTAGCATTTTTTGATTGCTATTGTGTTTTTTTTCAAGCCATTACAGAGAAAATATACAAAAAGAAGAAAGATATAATTGTTTCACCTCTATTGCCAAGTCATACTAAGTTCAAAATGTATGTTTTACTGTTAGAGCAAGGAAAAAACATTTAGTCAGCAAATGTTATGCAACTTGCACTTAGGGCTGGACAATAATTCAATATCAATATGTATCGCGATATAATTTTTTTCAATAACGGTGATATGATTTTTAAACACATTTCCGATATTTCGATATACATTACCAGTGTTTCCCATACATTGATTTATTTGTGCTGTTTGACTTCGTTGAATAAACATGAGCACTGCACGTTTCAAAATCACTCTTCTGCTCACCAAGGCTGCATTTATTTGATCCAAAGTACAGCAAAAACAGAAATATTTTTACTATTTAAAATGACTTTCTATTTGAATAGATTTTAACTAAGAAATATATCGTGATATCAATTTTGGCCATATTGTCCAGCCCTACTTGCACTTGCATCAGGCTAACTCAAACTCCAACAAGTGGTCCTGAAATATTTGAATCAGTAAACTAGCTGTGATTTCTCATTTTAAAATCACTCAGAAGAGGTGACACTGACAGTGGTTTTTGTTAAACAGAGCCTGTCTATCGAGATGGACAGCACAGGGTAACGAGGAAAGGATGGGGGATTGATCCAATTTTGAGCAGTGCTGGGGACAAAATGAAAACGCAGGACTAAAATCTGGGGCACAGATGGCAGCTTCAATGAATCTATATTAAACAGGATCCACAGAGAGCTGCACTGCAGCAGCTCCATCAGA